CCCCAAAACCCCAAAACCCCAAAACCCCAAAACCCCAAAATACTAATAAATTATTGAAAATGTCCTACGATTTCGATGACGAATCCGCAAATTTCCTCTCTGAAGCACGAAATTCCGAGCGGTATAGCACAATGAGCTCAATGGTTGCTAACTACGAGCACAAGATTTCTAACATCTGTAAGTTGCCCCTAATCTCTTTAGCCAATGAGCTAAAAATGGTATCACAGAAGGTCACTAAGAAGTTGAAGTAGGCCACTTCTTTATCTGTAGGGACTACGGCAAGAACAGGAGTGAGATCCTGTCTCTTTATAGTAACATGATTGAGCTAAGCCACCATATGAATGAGACTATTGTTAAGTCGAAGCAAGCTCCAGAGAGCTCAGGGGAAAGTCAGATGAGAATCGTTAAGTGGAAATAATATTTCATTGAAGTATGTCAAGCAGATTAAAACTTTGGAGGCAGCTATTTTTCAGAAGCAGAAGGAGTTAGATAAACTGGCCAACGTAAAATCAAGCAAAAGGGGAGGCTCTAAATATGGAAAATATAATGAAGATGAAGATGAAATGGCTGAGCTTATCCAACCAGAATGTACCGGCGAAGAAGGAAAATTTGAAGGACTCAAGCTTAGACAAAAAGAGACAGTTCAAGGGGAAACATTTGAAGAATTTATGAAGCGTAGATCTAAGCGAATTAGTAAGAAATCACTGATCATTATAGCAAAACTTAAGGAATCAATGGAAAAAATAAATGGGCTCTACCACGACCTCAATGACCTAGCTAATGAACAAGATGAGCAAATAAACCATCTTGATTTTAATATGGACAAAGGCCTTGAAGAGACTAAAAAAGCTAATAAACAACTCAAGAAAGCCAAGCCAAAATCTATGGTAAATATGAGGCTAGTAGTATCAGTCATTATCCTGATCCTTGCCATCCCTCTTCTCATCAGATGGACCATCATGAGGCAATAAATCCGGTGTGAAATAATCTGAATAAATCTATGCCTTTCAATATGCCTTATTCGATAAGGGGTTTTGGGGTTTTGGGGTTTTGGGG